CTGAAGGGACTAAGTGTTGCAGGATCAGGTCCATACTGTGTAAGTCTAAAGACATCAGTAGAACATTACAATCCTTGATTAAGCCTTACAGTACCTTTAAAAGGCTTGATACTCCAGACGCTTAGTACCAAGTTTAGGGCTCACTAAAGACACGTGGATGTGTTCTTACTGAGGGTAGGGATGAGAGAACAGGAGGCAGGCCCAAGGCCTTGCCTGAAACAGGTAGGCCTGCTCTTGGTCTCTCTCAGGCTGATCCTGCAGGCCAGACCATTGAGATCAGCAGTGGGATGTGAGCCTAGAAAACACCAAAGATGACAGGATAAAGCCCATAATATTGTGTAAATGTCAGGTGTTTGACTAGTGACCACTATAACTAAAACAAAATTCCCATTCAGTTCAATAATTCATTAGCTATGCACTAATATAATAATTCCTTTCACCCAAGGACATCATATTGCTTCACAGACACAAATTCTTTAAGCCTCACAACATCCCACCCAGGTGGTTACTGTAAATATTATTATACTCATTTTAAAGATGGGTAAACAGGCACAGAAAGGTTAAGTGATTTTTCCAAGGTCACTCAGAGGGAGTGTTGGGAATAAAACTCATGGGACCTGACTTGCAACCCCAACTAACTATTAGACAACCTCTCTGTAAAATGAGTGTTTCCAGGGTCCTGCTCACTGCCAGGGTCCACAATATCTGTCTGTAATTGCCTAAATTTCACTACGTCTTCCTATAGTCAGAGTTTTTACACACAGAGGAACTGCTGTGAATTCATTTCTTTCAAAATTCTAGGACAGATTCTAATTGTCTTTAGAGTTTTCACAGATGGGAGTCTGCCACACCTTTAAAATGGAGAAGGAGGAAAAAAGTCTCAAACCAACCAACCAACCAACCTCCCAAACTTAGGGACATTCAATTTTACACACTAGTTATTTGCCATATGCTGTAACTGACTGAGGAGCTGTATGAAGAATGCCTATAGTTAGTTGCTGAACTGCTCATTTTGTTATGACACATACTTGTACAAAACTACAACTATTACCATAACTTCACAGCTGATTTGCGTGACGAATTTAGTTATGAGCATAAAGACAAAAATAACTAATGAAAATGGAAGTTATTAGCTGCTGAGGTTGTGAGTGACGGGTATTTTTTGTTTAATTTTCTCACTCTTTTAATGATGAAACATTATATATAACTGGAAACAAAAGAACACTCATTAAATTTATATTTTCTTTGTGAAGGACATACTTGCAGCTGGTGTTTTCCCTAGGATTTCAGTAGGAGCCAGCCTTTTCCACCAGAGTATGATGGGTCAGAAAAGGAGAAGACAGAAAGAAGAAAGAATGGGAAATAAATAAAGCATCATTTACAAAGTTTCTAAAAAGAATATAAGGGGAGTGAATCAAGATGAAAAGAAGATGTAACATTAAAATAATAATTTCCTTAATCACATGAATCCTGATCCTGCAAGGCGCTGATCAGTTGCAAAAAAGACACTGAAGACAACAGGCATTTTCTGTAAACTACTTTGGTCCAAAAACACATTAGTAATTTGAGAGCAGAAAAAAAGAGGCCAGGGAATAAGTTTTTGTTCTCATTCCCTAAGGAAGTGGCTTTGTAAATTCCTTGCATTAACTTCCTCATCCCTTTAAGAAGCCGTGACAGTCTTAGATCAAAACCTCGGATTTCGAAAAAGCATTGTCCCTCAACTATACACACTTCATGTAAACACCTAAACATTAGGGAAAGTCACCAACTTTATTTAAATTGGAGGTAAGTTCATTTTTATTTTGTAAAGATTATTAGCTCTTAGCCACAGGGTATGCACCTTCCGTTATGTGTTTATATAACATGTAGCACACTGTGGGTACTACTCCGAAACTATTATTAATTATTATTATTATTAATTATAAGACACAATGTATTTGAACACAAAAAGCTTTGAATCAGCTTTTCTCCCCATTTCACCTGAAGGTTAACAGAAGAGGTTGATTAGGACAATTAAAAAAAAACAAAACAAAAAAACAAACCTTTGTAGGAGTCTGACGGGAATCATTTTGAACTAGTCCTGTTAAGTTAGTGCTGTGCAGTCAATTGCAGAGATATGGATGTGATCTGTTGTTCAGACCCCCGTGAACAGTACGGCAATACAATAATACCACTGACCTTCCATGGACCCCCTCAGTTCAGATTCCTTTAATCAACACAATTCATTTTGCCTTTACTTACTTGCTGTCACCAGCAGTGGATATAAGTTGAACATAGATTCGGTGTGGGAGAGATGGCATTTGACTGAGACTCTGCATTTTATTATCACAGATACTACGCCTTTAGCAAAACATAAAATTCTTATCTAAAAGTCTGAATTTCCTACTTGATAATTGCAACTACCCAGAAAGTGCTTCTTCTGAAAAACAAACCAGATATTAGGTCAGATGCCTTTTATCCAGTGCAACTAAATAAGAGCCAGTAATCAGACAATGCTAGGAAATCTGCATACTAAGAGTTTTTGCTATGCTGTGGTTCCTAGAAACTTACAGGAAGAGAAACTGTGAATAAGTGTTGGCTTTTTGTTTTAATGAAGTAAATGTACAATCTCTGATTCATCACAACTACATATTTAACATACTTGAGAAGACTTGGTTGAATCACTAGTAATTTCCATTTACAGCAGTTACTGTCTCAGTTATGGTGAATTTTTTTTAAAAAAAGCTGGAAATATTAGTTTGAAAAACTAGTGTAATCACAGTTTCCACTTACGTGACAGATGGAATTTGTGCAGTACAGCTTGTAGATTTTGTAAAACTTTATTAATATAAATTTAATCCATATTTTCCTAACAACCTATACAAAGAACTATTACTTTTTTCTTTTTCCTCTTTTTACTAAGTAATGCATCCCTCTTGCTAGAAGATTTAAGGTTGTGTTTGCCTTCTTTCCTGCCCCTCTGTGGCACAGGAAAGAACCTGAACTTTAATGACTTGTTTTATTTATTCACTGACTTTGATGCCCTTCTTTGATCTTAGTTTAGAAAACAGTGTAGTTCAGAGGAATATATTTGATATTTTTAATAAAAGGGGGGCAGGTGGAGAAATAATCCTTATTTTTACTCCATTTCACTCAAACTCATATTTCAATATCTACTTTTCACATTACCCCCTTCCCTCCCCCCCCCCCCCCAGTTCTCCCTCCAAAATGTAACAAAAATGGGGGTGGATGGGTGTTTGAATATGCAACATGGCCAGATTAAAAACAAAAAGCTATCTGAACTGGTATAAATTCCCATCTCAAATTATATTTTTAATAGCAAGAAATACTTCTCTCTACAAAATAAACAGTTTCAAAAAGTAACAAAACATTATTTATCCTCAGTCAGATGGGTATCACTGATGTATTTAGGAACACATCAAAGGAAGAAACATTCAAAACTGAACAGGTTGACATTTTTTGCAAAAAAAGATTTTTAATTTAAAATGGCCTTTTTCAAAAAGGAAACTGATTATGAAAAACCACTGATATTATCAATATATTTTTTATTTTTTTTGTTTTCCGTGAAATTTATTAAAAAATTGGAATTGTTCTTGAAATGTTTTGTTTAGTGAAAACTGGGTTTCAGGCAGGTAAACAAATCATATAAAAAACTATTTAGATGAAAATATCCCCCCACAAATGAGAAGGTGTTTCATTTTTGAACTCTGAAATGGAAACAATTTTAAAATTTCACTATTTTTTGTGAAATTAATTCCCCATTTTCTGACAGTTCTAATTCCAAATATCTGAGCTCAAGACAGAGAAGCACTGTCTTCCCATTCGCTAGAGGTTATAACATGAGACGCTAAACAGTTCTAACCACACCAATTTCTAAGGAAGACATAAGAGAATATTAGAACGGTACGACATGTCTACACTGCAGCTGGGAGGGTGCCTCCCATTCTGGACATAGATACAAGCTAGCTCTGTTGGAGTTAGAGCACTAAAAATAGCGTGTGGACATTGTGGTACAGGCAGTGGCAAAATAAATAAATAAAGACGCAGGGGGTTGGGAGGGCTTGAATTCAAGAGGCTAATCTGTGCTGCCATCTGTGTGGCTGCAACATCCACTCTGCTGTTTTTAGTGTGCTAGTTCGAGCAGAGCTAGGGTATGTCTGTCTACCCAGGCTAGGAGGCAAACTCCCAGTTACAGTGTAGGGCTAGGTTGTGCCTGTGTTCAGAAAGGGTAGATAGACAGAGGAGCCTTGCTGCAGCAGACTCCTGCAGTTCCATGGGGATGTATGCTGCAGGTGCAGCTCTGCCACCCTTTACATAGGTTCGGTATGCTCTTTTCTTTCTTCCCTGGCAGTTCTGCTGATCAACGGAAAGAAGAAAGGGGCCACAGCCCAATCCTCCCCACAACTCTTTGGATGAGTTTTGGGCTGACAGCAGTGCTGGCATAGATCAATGGCCCTTCTTCCCAGCTACCTTTAACTTAAAGTGTTTTTTTTTAATTATTTATTTAAGGTGATTGTCAAAGGGGCTGTAGCTGACCTACCTCAGAGAAGCTTCCCTTTGTGAATAGGAGACATCAGCGTCTGTGAGCATACACAATGGAATACACCTGAATTCATTTCAGATGACTGGCTTCCACTGCAGGAGCGGAAGGTAAGCAGGTTTAGAGATTTGGCTCATGGGAGCAGGGAAGGTTCGTGTGAATGAAAATCTAAAGCCCAGGTTTCTTGAACCAAGGTTTAGCTAGCTTAGTATCAGGAAATGGCAGCCCATAGGGCACTAGTGCTGCCTTGCTGTAAATAGAGCCCTTATGATGTCAAGTTGTCACATGATGGCATAATTTTGATTCAGCCATGAATGGGTATGAAAAATGTAGGCACTGCCAAAAGACTTGCATAACTAGTAGGTTTCTTCTGATTCTACTTAGTGCAGGTGGCCCTACAGTTATTTCTAACCTTATCTTTTTTTTTTAGTTCAAGGAAACAGCTGCAAGGAACCCTTACCTCATATTTTCCTTTCTTCTCCAAGGGCTCAGGCTCAGTCTCCACAAGCATCATAACTTCATCCCCTCTAAGCTCCTCTAAGATGAAGACCGTCTCCCAGTTGCTATAGTGACGGGCTGGGAAAATATCTGAATGCATGCTGTCACCAAAATAAACAACCTAAAAGTGAAACCGCAAATTAAAAGTGTTATGTGTGTGAGGAAAAGACAAACAAGTGTGTTTCAGAGATAGAGAAAGAGAGCTTCAGAAACAACCAAATAAAAATTCCTCTAGGTTTATCTGGACACAACAAATGGATGTTTTATTAAAATCATGGTTTCTTTTTATTAAAAAGCTTCCTCACTGCTGGCCTTTCACTCCATTTTGGTTTGCCTCTGAATACCTTCCATGCCCTGGCTTCCACTGACATTACAAAAGAACACTGCAATATGAGTGGCACATAGGACAACACTGCTAGGGCATTTTGGTTGATAAAACTAGCATATTAGACAGCAGTGAAGTAAAATTGACAAACAGATAAAACAGAATTTAAAAAAATGTAATAAATTTGGGAAATATTTGAAACAAAGGAAAACTCTTATCATCTCTCTTTATTTCTAAACAGAACTTTCTGTCATGTTGTACTTACGTGTATAGCCTATGTATTGGGTAAATATTGGCCCTACTGAAGTCAATGGCAAAACTCCCATTGACTTCAAAGGGATCAGGATTTCACCCACTGAATGGGGTGACACAATGGTCCAAGTTTTTATTTACACTACCTTGTTCATCAGGTTTCTCTACAGGAAAAGATTACACAGATTTTATTACACACAGAGTAGATATATACACACACATGCATAACCAGATATACATTCTGTACCACAATTATTTTTCCTTTTTGAGAAAGGCAGTAAATATCTATAATTCCTAGAAACGGAATGTAACTAGTCAACTTCTCCCTTCCTGTTCTGTATTAATATATACAAGAACAACTATTTTATCCCCAATACCGGATTCCCCAGTGCATATCTGTCTTTTACACTGCCTGCTCTCCAGGAAGGAACTGTAAATAAACAAATAATCATGCAGATAACAACAGCACTAGGAGAGTTATGGTCTAAATTAACTAATAGGATCCATTTTTAAAATCTACTGGGCATTTTCTTCAAACATTTACTACTAGGCGGAGCACAAAGTACTGCAAGTAATCTCCATGGAAATTCAACGGTACTGCTCAGCACTACATTCAATAATAAGGTTCTAATTCACGCTCATGTTGTGATAAATAGATCAATGGTGGTAAGTGGATCTACTAAGATAACTTTTCCCTCTCTTGCTGAATACCTTAGGTTCTGGCTTGCCCGTCATCTTCTTCAGCAGTTCATAAAGATGGGTAGCATTACCTTGGGAATACCAGCCAGGCTTGTCCAAGGATGGCAGAGCTTCCTGCTCCTCATCATTCTCTGAAATCATAAAACAAGATTTCCCACTGTTAGTGAGAGCAATAAGAAAACTCACTACTCTTCTGGTGCTGTTTTGAGAGACGCATGACAAGATGCACCTATTTACCCGTGATAATTCTAATTTGACACTAAAGACTTGTCTACACTTACCGGAGGATTGACAAGCGACTGATGCATCGGCGGTCAATTTAGCGGGTCTAGTGAAGACCCGCTAAATCGACCGCAGATCACTCTCCCGTCAACTCCTGTACTCCACTGGATCGAGAATAGTAGGGGGAGTTGACAGGAGAGCGTCTCTCATTGACATCACGTAGTGTAGACCCCACAGTAAGTAGATCTAAGCTACGTCGATTTGAGGTATGCTATTTATGTAATTCAAATTGTGTAGCTTAGATCGAATTTCCCCTTTAGTGTAGACAAGGCCTAAGAAGAAGGACATGTCCAGGCAGCAGCAGGTTCAAGTTATGTTACTAATCAGAAGTTATTAATCAGAAGTTTCAGGTTAGGTCAGGTTGTAGTATAGGACCTGATGAAAGTTTGGGGAGCATGGCTCATTGTCACTGCTGTGCATGGTGGTTTCAATAAACACACACAAGAGATATTTGAGATTTAAAGGCCTCAGGCAGCAACTGTATTGATTTTCACTCAGACTTAATGTTATCCATAATCTGTAATGCCTGATGTTATGCTCAATTATCCACAAATGCCCTGAAGCCTACAGAACAGTCCCCAACCTCTTTTCCCATCAAACGAGGAGTTGCAAATATGTAGCCAAATTCTCTCTCCGAGAGATCAAACCATATCTGACAGAAGTCCGTTCCCACAACAATTATTCTCCTCCTTTCTCTGTCATGCCTTAGCTCCACCAGCTTCCAAAATGGTACCCAAATTTTGGGATAGAGATTAGGCCCATCTAAACATACCACAAGACGCTTCAACAAAAGTTGCAGTGAAGGAGGTAGAAAACCACACAAACAATATTGAGGAGGTCATCAGCTACCCTATGGCAGTTGCTACAGCATTCCAGGGAAAGATAACAGCAACACCTACCTATGGAGACAGAACTTTTACTGCCAGCCTTAAACACTGACTCTATATACCACGGTCAATATGCTGTGTAGGAAAAAAATCTTTCCTGAGCTCAAATAAAGTTATAAACTATTGTGCATACAGGGGAGCATCATCAATCTCATATCTAAAATCTGCACTAATGCCTGATGTTCCACTATCATCCTGTTCAAGGGAGAGAGTGTGTAGAAACAAACTGATGCTAATACTATAGGTGATATGTGCTTCCTATCCAGGCAGCCATCTATGCACCCTGCATTCACAGTAAGACGCCAACCAGGAGTCTTAGTAGAGTATAAAAGTCATCATCCCCTCGCTGATCTGACTGTAAGGCCACCCTCCAGCCACTCTGGACACCTGCTCTGGTGTCTGTACAGCTAAACTTATGTAAATCTCTGTCAGGTAGCATTTCATTACCAACTGTATCTTTTTGCTTCTTGTTGGAGCCAACTTGCTGACCTTTGCAAAACTGTAAATGGGAATCTCATCACAAGGTGAACTTGTCTAAAACAATGCATGTGCATTGGGTACTGAAGTGATTAAGCAAAGAGGTTATTTTGTTTCTCAGCCCCAATACAATATTTTTATACAATAAAGAGAGAGAAGAAAAGAGGCCAATATAGTGTTTTGATCTGGTTTATCTAGAACATCAGTAATTCCATACAGTCTATTGCTACAGTATTGTTCGAGAATTACAAAATACTTTAGAGAGGGAGAGAGAGAGAGAGAGAGAAGGCTAGAACAGAGAGAGCAAACATTATGGAGTTACAGGGTGCAGCAATTCCCACAGAGACAGAGTGAAGTGAAACTTTGGGGACAGAGTAGAGCATTAGGAAGGAAAGCTGTTTAAAAGAACAGTAAAGGTGCATACAACAGGATAATATGTACACTGAGGGGAGAACAAAACAAGGTAGTAATGGGGAAAAGAGAAACATGAGGGGCTGCAAATCTTTTTCATACATTGTGGGTCCAGAAATCTGACTAAAACCAGGATTATTCCCAGACAAAACAATTGTATAGTAGGGATGTTCTAGAAACTGGGATGAGCAAGGAAATCCAAAATTAAGAACATTATTCTTTCTCTAACTCATGCAGAAACAGTTTCCCTCTCATCCCTCCTACAAAACCAAAGACATATAACAATATGTATTAAAGGTGGAATGTTATCCTTCATTTTGCATTTCCTGGCTTCTGATTGTTGGTTTGTGGCTCAACCTTAATGTTGTTGAAACAATTTGTCTTAATTTCCTCATTTGTTTTTGCTGTTTTAAAACTTTCATACATCCACCTTTCCCCCTGACCTGCCCCCACAGTTTCCTGGAAAAGTTTAAACACTTTTAAAATTAGACACACTATCTTGTTGTCATGCTTATGGAAATTTGTTTTTTTTTTCCTGCATATTTTTAGACATATTTGCAGGGATGGCTGAATGGGTAGCCAGGGATTTTAGATTTTTCCCCAAAAGTGTTTCTCAGATTGACAACAACAAAATGCATATCTATGAAAACTACTCATAAAACAGTCTGCAAATACAGACCCATCAAACAGATTAATATTTTGTTAAATGCACATTTTTTGAAATGGCAAAATCAATGAACAATCTCATTTTTAACGAGATAATATGGTTCTCCTTCTTCTATATACTGTAAATATCCAAAAAGCAATTGATTATGTTCTCTGTAAGACAGTGGTGGGCAACCTGCGGCCCAGAGGCTGCCCATCGGGGTAATCTGCTGGTGGGCCGCGAGACAGTTTGTTTACATTGACCGTCTGCCGGCATGGCTGCCCGCAGCTCCCAGTGGCCGCGGTTCATGGTGGCCGTGCCTGCGGATGTTCGATGTAAACAAACTGTCTTGCAGCGGATTACCCTGACTGGCCATGTGCATCCCGCGGGTTGCCCACCATTACTCTAAGACATATTTGCTTTCCATGAATTGCTTTAAGTCATGGACACATTTCTGCGAATATTCTTCTCTTTCTCCAGGAACGTTTCAAAATAATCCATGTACATGTTAATGTTCTGGCTAGTTCAATCAAGTACCTACAGCAGTCGATGAAGTAGGCTCTCCCACACCTTCCCATGTAAAACTAAAGCGAACTACATAATTGTATCTCAGTGACAGGAAGCAAAGAGGAAATAGGTAGCCATTTTTCAAAATGGAAAGCTTAACAGAAAAGTGGCCAAGTGACTGGTATTAAGATTGGTGAGGCTCAGTGTATAATGACCTGGAAAATGAGGTGGACAGCATAGTGGTTAACAGCAATGATGCCAATGTTTTCAGTTATCATTATCATTGTGGAGAATTCTTAGAAACTCCAGAAGGCTCGAAGTAACTTATGTTCCTATTCAGAAACAATAAGAGGTGGATCAGTCTAGTGTCTCTCTGTCAGCTGAATCATTAAAACACTGGATGAAAAAAACCAGAGACGTAACTACGCTTATCAAATACAGCAGTGTCACACCAATAATTATTACTGTTTGGAGCAAGTATTATCATTATTAATTATATGTATTACAGAGCACCTAGAGGCTCCTACCAAGATCAGGGCTCCACTGTGTTCAGCACTATACAAGCACAGTGATGGACAGTCCTTGCCCTGAAGAGTTTATGTTGGTTAAAAGACAAGCCTGGAAGGTAAGAGACCAGGGTTCTTTTCCTCACTCTGCCACTGACCCATTCTGACACCTCTGGAAAGGAACTTAATTCCAAGTCTCAGTTTCCCCATCTGTAAAATGGGGATAACAGCACTTATCCACTTTAAAGGAGTGTTGTGATGCTTAATTCATTCACAGTTATGTGTCACTGTGAAATCCTTGAATTTGGAAGGGACTGCAGAAATCTGAAGTATCATGAAAATGTCTCTCTGATGCTGTTTCAGGAATCAGAGATCTGAATCTGAAATGCTTAAACAGATTAATTACACAAATGCCTCTTACAGTGGGACTGTGCTCCTTTAGATATTTGCTTCAACTTGATGGTGCTCGAGAATGTTGCCCATTTTCTGGAGGCTTAAAAAATGAAGTATTCTAGCTTTTTGTTATTGTAACTGTCTCCTTTCTATCTTGTTGTGAATATGCAGCAGCTAACTCATCCCAAGATGAGAAGAGAGGAAACTCCTTATTTAGGGGCTACTAACACCTGGGAGTTCACCCAAAGGTTAGAAATGCTATAAATATTACCTCAGCAGGAAGCAAGACATCTAAAGAAGGGGATGCTAATGCTGCTAAAGCATTCTTACAACCTGGAGGGGTGAAGCTCTGACAGTTTCAAATAGTCGAGATAACTCAGAAAGAATTTCTCAGGTGATTTAGATGGAACAACTCACTTCTGTTTGAAGTCTCTAATATATCATTGCTACCTAAATTCCTAGCTCCATATTACAATACGTGCCATGACAAGTAGTGTAAAGGTATCCAGTCTAGCAAAATAACTAGAGAAGAAGAAACAATGTTTGTAAATTGTAACTACCACATCCCCACAAAGATCATTAGAGGAATATCATTTCAGTGGAAATTTCCTATAGGAAAGTCACTTTTTTTCTACAGAAAAACTTTAATTGCAATAGCAATGCAGATTGCAGTGCATTGTAACAACTGTGGAAGTTCATTTTGATTCACTTGAAATAGAATTTTACTAAATTCACTGTAAGCAGGTACTTGGGTATTTCAAATAATCAAATTCACTCACAAAATCAGTATTCTTAGTTTATTTTTAACATCTTTCTCACAAGAGACTTCTATGCCTTCTCTAGTTTGCCTTGAAATTTGAGTTGCAGGTTTATAACATTGCATGAGGAACATCTGGCATTATTTCTCCAGCTGAGAACGGATGGAAAGGAATCAGCAAAACTTTTTCTTTGTCTGACTTAAGTGACTGCTATTGTTGTTTTACTTTTGTAAAATACTATCTTATGCTCTCTAGGAAAGTATT